TACGATAAATTGCTTTTAAAAATGGTGAGACCCAACTTGCTAATAAATTATATAAAGAAGTTTCTATAAAAATTATAACAAAACATAGTGAGTAGAAATATTAGATTAGTACCGAACATGAGCTCTTAACGAAACAAATTTATTCGTCCCTCTACATTGAAAGAGGAATCAGGGTAGCTAGTTGATGAAAAAATACGTGGGAGTATAAGCAGATGGAAGTGGAAGATGAAGAGGTAGGATAGGGAAGGATAATAAAAATAGGATGAAAGACCATGCTTTAGCTTCGATAGCAATGATAACAAAGCATCATGCAGTGAAAATATTGAGCTTTAGTTTAAGCAAATACAAATAAACGGCAATTTAATGAACGAGAGAACCCCTTATTTGTTTAGGTTCTCTACTTAATTCTCTTCAGGCGGCAACATCGCGGAGTGCAGCAAGAACAAATAAAATACAGATAATGTAAACTATGATAAGGAGGATAGGTGTGATAGAAAATGTGGAGTTATTTACAAACATGCACTCATATGTTGAGTGGGCTACGTAAGAGAGAAAATACGAATAAGGAGTGATGAGTTGGCAAGAGTGAAAGTGAGCCTACAAGTCGGTAAATCGATTTTCATGTATGGGAAATAACTAAGACGCAAGTAATCAAGCTAGGCAGAGATAAACAAACTGAAATCGCATGGGATTCAGGAAAGAGAATAAATTAGGTAATCAGGAATGAAAATTCCGAATCAAAATTAAAATTGTGAGGCAACACAAATCGGCTGAACAACCTCAGTCAAGAAGGGGATCTATAAAAGAGGGGAGGATGCTCATTGAGGTACCCGAAGGCGAGGAAAGCACGGGTGGATAAAAGGACAAATTAAGACAAGATATATCATTAAATCATCAATCAATAAGCTAGGCAATAAAGGGAAAGAAGCTTGTCTATCAGATTGCGAATAATTACATTGTAATGACAATATATGCTAATGAGTCTGGGCTTATTTCAAGTTAAGTTAGCATAATTTCGAGCATATGCTTGCGAGTAAGTGTGCTTGTAAATGCGCTAGTATTTGGTTATTTTTGTGAGTCTGCATTTATGAATCACAGCATAGAGATTAACGAAAAGCTGAAATTCAAAAAATATAAGCTTCTGCATACACATAAAAGTACACAAAAAACAAAGACGAATGCTTGTAAAACTGGAGATAAAGAGGAAAACGAGGTGCCGATCATCCGCTCAGGTTAAACCGATTACGTAAGTCCAGCATCATCTGGTCAGTCAAATCGACGTCTGTCATGAGGGAAGCCATCTGCTCGAGGCCAGACCGATACTCCTCAGACTGACGATGCTGCGTATGAGCTTGATCTGAGGAGATGAAGATCAAAAAATAGGGATATGAGGATGAAAGACAGGCGATATCACGAGTTAAATCATCATGAATCAAATAAAAACAATCAAAAACGTGTTCTGTTTGGCAGCTTTCTGGTAATCAGAATGGTGGGTGAGCTTAGTTTCGAACAAATGCAACGTGGCATTTATGCCTCTAATGCAAACACCAAACAGTTGATCATGCATCGCGGTTAAGAGAACCTAAATATCAGATCAAAATCCCAAAAAGATCCTATAAACTGGCCTATATTTTCTCCCTAAATTCGGCATACATGAATATAGTTGCATAAGGATGAATTTATCGTGCCTCTATGAAGTTGTTTGGAAAACGAGTATGTCTAGACGAATTAACTAGTCTTTGTGGGCAAAGAGGGAGCCCAAATAAGTGCCCAGGAGAAAACTGAAATGCCTCGATATTTGGTTCAGGTTAAACCAAAGACTGGAGTGGAGTCTACAGTTGAGTTTGTTGCTTGAATACACCAAAGAAATGAAACATAAGTGATAAAAATAATAAATAAAGATATAATACTTAGGATTAAATACATGTGAGGTGATCCATTACAACTCTTCCTCGCTACATCCTATCCTGTCTCCCTCATCAATTTAACACACAAACCGCCTCTAAATTATTACTACTTACCTAAATATGCCCATCGGGTTTATGCCATCTTCAAAATATGTTAATTTAACTTCTATTTCACCAATCTGTCTCACCGCAGGTTTTCGGTACCATTCGCTTAAGAAGTCGCATCATTGCACATGTATTTGGATAAATAATGCAAATCTTCTCGTAACTAGTGTCTGCACTGACAATTATGAATCCTTTTTGAAGAGACTTTTATGTCGTATGAAAGTGCATACAAAAGAGATTTGAGGTAGATCTCACCAGAAAAGGACGTATGATTTAAGTTATATTGCAGCTGTTTGGCTTTAATACACTGTTCAGTTTAACGCAGTCCACGAGACATCTTCCCTCGTTTCGGGTGAAAATGAGCTGACACCTTGTCCATCCTTCGAAGGACATCATCAGAGCTGTAACTCCCGTTAACACTAAGGAGTCAGACGTCTTCTGATGAGATCGACCTACGAATCTCTTCTTGATGCATTTTCATAGGAAATGAAAGTCTTTCCAGAAATGTTATCGTACGAGATTGATTGAAACCCAGCTACATTTCGCATCTATAAATCCGTCCAAGAACTGTTACTCCCTCCGTATATAGGGCAGAATGAAATTACATCCAACTAGTCTGGCTGTGTATTTATTTCATTCTTGACATCAAAAAAATGTTGTATGATATGATATCCAAAGTTAGTAGCCTTAAAATGAAATTATTTTCCATTGGCCCTAATGCATAGGTAGAGAAAATATCGAATTAGCCCAAGAAAGCATGCAAAAATGATAAATAAAGTAAAAAGTATTTTGCATAGCATGTTTTATGTTAGTAGTAGTACCAGACTGATGAAGTGGCTTTGTGATGATGAGAGGCAAACGCGTCGGCTTACTTTCGCCAGGAAGATGGAGTTGATAGGTTTTAGAATTTGCTTTATGGATCGTGATGATGCTCTGATCGTAGTTGCACTCGTTTGTCCCGAGCAGAGCGGATATTTAAAGGGTAAATCAATAGCTTAGAAGAAAATGCGGTATACTTGTGCGCTTATATAGCTTTAGTAACAAATCCTCCATTAAATTCATTGTAGAGGTGAAGAAAGTGCACACTTCAAATGCGATGCAGGAATCTAATCTTTTTAAGAAGAGATGATTCATTTTTATCATGAATAAACTATTCAGTATTTCGATTAAACTAGGATTTAATGCTGCATATATGGGTCGAATATAAGAAATAAATAGCCAAATTACTAAGATGGAAGCAACATAGATTTTTATTTCGATAAGTAAAGACCTCTATTGGGTCTGTAATATAATAAGCCCAACAATTTTCAACGATGAGAGGAAGTAGATTTCCCAGACTGTCTTTAAATCATGAATAAGAGTTTCAGCTACCCTAGATCGCAGGTGATAAAGGACTAATAGTTGAGTCCTCTCTACTATGATATGAGTAGGCCTCACGTTTCCATTGAATTTAATCTAACCTTTTCTAAAAGGTTCTTCATTTAGAATAGACTTCAGTTTCGATCTCGCTTAGGTCCCACCAACACCAACATCAGCGCAAATCTAACCCGGGCAGGTCAGACATGAATTTGAAGTAAGGCAAGGCCTGGCTAATATCTCATTCAAATAGAGGGATTGTTGACGAGGCAAACTTGTGTTTTGTAACTAAATCGGCCTAAGTCACATATTCATTACTTTATGAGACCTAGTGTGACGAGAACTCCAATTAAAAAATAATTGATGGTATCTAAAAATTGCTTCATCAGAATATAAGTAAGGAAGTCGATTATAATGGCGAAACA